AAAGAAGTCCCCCCCCCTGCCACTGTATAAACTTCAAGTTGCACTGAACTTGGACCTTCCCCTGGCTAAGACACGAATGCAACTGAATGACTCCTGCTTAAACTCCTGTTCTTATTGCTTACAGGATAAATCTAAACTCTTGCATTTCTGAAATCTTTCATGATGTAATCATTACTCTGTTTGACCTCCTACCCATCCCTCTTTTGTCCTTATTCTTTGTTCAATAATATTCATCTTTTCTAAAATGTTTTCTTACTTTCATGAGTGAGAAAGCACTCTCAACAGGGTGTTGAGGTGGTGATCAGTCTCTAGCCTCAGGCAGCCCATGACCATGACCCTTGCATTCAGGTAAGTCTTTTTTTTTTTGGAGAGGTTTTCGCTATAGGGCGCATGCGCTAGCCAGCCAGCCAGAGAGAGACAGAGAGACAGAAAGCGAGAAATCACCCCCCAGGGAGGATGGTCATGCCGCAATCCCTTCTCCTCCATTCTCCTCTTGGGATCTTGGGCACGCACGCACACGTGCCCGGTGTGAGATTCAAGCCACTGGGTCCGAGACGCGAACCGTGGTCGACTACGTGGGAGTCCAGCGACATAGCCATTACGCTAACTGCTGGTTCCCAGTCATTTTTTTTTTTTGAGAGGTTTTTGCTACAGGGTGCGTGTGCTCGCCAGACAGACAGAGACAGAGAGACACAAAGTGAGAAATCACCCCCCAGAGGGGGGATGGGCACGCCACAATCCCTTCTCCTCCGTTCTCCACTCGGGATCTTGGGCACGCACGCACACGCGCCCAGCGTGAGTTTTAAGCCACTGGGTCCGGGACGCGTACTGCGGTCGACTACGTGGGAGTCCAGCGACATAGCCATTATGCTAACTGCTGGTCCCTCAGGTTAAGTCTTTGTACCTGAACCTGAAACCTTCCAATAGTAGGTTAGCCTCCAGAGCACATTTTCCTGTTGCCTCACCAGCCTACCCCTCACCTTTTAGTAAATGCTTTCCCACATGAACCCATGCATTGTACATGCTAATCCTTTTGTACTCAATACTGTTTATTTAGTAAACCTTTATGTATTTCTTCCAAGCCTTTCTGAATGTCCTTACAGAAGCAATCAGCTTCTGGGGGCTCTTATCTTCCCTTTGCTATGGGGTCTTGAACTCCTATAGTTTGATTTCCCATCCACAGGGCCTAAGCCACCCTCACTGGTTAGGAAATTGATGTGAACACACACGTTTTCTTTATTAACGTGATTGGCTTCTTTGAGAAAACAAAATAGCAAGAGATGGCCTAAAGAATTTTCTAGAATGTTTGTGAAAATCATCACCATCTTAAAACATGTGTCCAGCTCTACTCACTCAACCTCTCTTCCTACCCCATCTTCAGAAAATTGTGAAGAGAATATATGGAAATCCTTGAGCTATATTTAAACTGATCTTTAGTGAAACAGTAGGGTTAAAGAAGAGAGTTCAGAGGGAGTCGTGAAGTTGGCAGAAGCTTCAGGGAGGAACTGCACTGAGGAGCGAAGGCAGAGAGTAAGAGGCCATTTCCCAGCTCTGAAACTCGTCATTTGGTTTCTTTCAACTTGTATCTTCATTTGGGGCTAATCACTGAGCTTCCCTAATAGTTAAGAATAATTGACACAGAGACCATGGGAAAGAGCCTAGCCCGCTAAAGGTGTTCAAGGAACAGGAACCGCGGTGAATACTCCGCCTCTACTGGTGACGCCCCG